TAACATGTGCACGATACAGAAAGCATTGTTCTTGCAACATGATTTTTCACTGTTGCATGAGAGCGAGGAACTGGACCACATATTTTTGCCATTGATCTGCCAATTAACTCCTCAACAACACCCCCTGGTCCTATATAATGCAAAGGCTGATAATGCTAAAAGCACATTAAATTAGAGGTAAATTTTACCGTGTAGAAAAACCAAAAATATGGAGACACAAACTTCTGATCACGTAATTGTGTTCATGGATGAACAAAAGCACAGTAATGGCCACTCCCTTGAATCAAAGCCAGTAGCTGCTCCTTACACAGTAGCGGAAACCAAGCCACCCCTGCCACCTGCAAGAGTACAGTCCCTACACCGTCTGAGTTTCTCAAAACCCAAATCTCGATTGCTCGAGTTTACTCTTCCAGCCAACCAGAAAATCATAGCTGAATCCCATGAATTCGAGCCCTTGAAACGAAACGAAAGCTTTCCAAGTGATAGTGATGAAGAAAGTGAAGAAGATGATGAGGAATTTGATGAAGGAGAGGGAGGAACTGTGAAGGAAAAACTCCTGAAGAAGAAATTCAAAATCAACTGCAGGATTTTGATTGAGTGGATATTGTTTTGTATCATATCAACTTGTTTGATCTGTTCCTTAACAATTTCCTCTCTCAGGAACCAGCTGAAATGTGGGCTTGAGCTATGGAGATGGTGCCTAATGATTCTTGTCATTTTCAGTGGCCGCCTTGTCTCTGAATGGATAATTCGAATCAGTGCTTTCCTGATCGAAAGAAACTTTATGCTTCGCGAAAAGGTTCTGTACTTCGTCTATGGACTCCGCAAGAGTATCCAGAATTGTGTTTGGTTAGGCCTTGTTCTCCTAGCATGGACTGTTATATTCAGTTACAAGATCCACAAGGAGAACAAATTATTGCAGAAAGTTTTCCAAGCCCTGGTGGCAGTTCTTATAGGCGCTACAATTTGGCTCATCAAAATTGTATTAGTCAAGAGTTTGGCCTCTTCTTTTCATGTCACTACATATTTTGATCGCATGAAGGAGAGTGTTTTTCATAACTATGTTCTCGACATTCTTCTTGGGCCGCCCATGGACGAGGTGACATATGAGGCAGAACACCACAAGGATTTGATGGTATCAAAATCGCTCCCAGCAAAGTTGAGGCCAGAATCTCGGGCTTTTTCAAAATCGAAGAGGGTGGGAACAAGGAGGATAGATATTGAGAAGTTGCGGAAGCTGAGCACCCAGAGTACGGCTTCTGCATGGAGCGCAAAGAGGTTGGCAAATTACGTTATGTCATTTGGGCTGTCGACTATTTCCAAAACTGTTGATGAGTTTGGAAGAGCCGAGGCTGAGAACATTACCAGTGAACTGGAGGCAAGGAACTGTGCTAAGAGGATCTTCAAGAATGTAGCCAAACCAGGTGCCAAGTAAGTATCTACCTCTCACTCTCTCTCTTTTGTGTTTAATAATTGTAAAATGAACTCCATGATAAATTTTGTAATTATTGAATTCTCATACTACTCAAAAAATGTTACATATGCACGTAGAGCTTGATTTTGCCTTAAAAGGTAACTAAGAATTGGATTGTTAATCGGCTCGAGTTGCTTATAGGAGTCCCTGATCAAACTATAAATTGGCAATAGGAGCCGACTCCCTTTATGCTATTCCGGTGAACAGTTAAGTTGTTTGTATAGAAATTAGGTGCTAAGATGGAAACACCTGTATGGCTTCTTTTTTTTTTTTTTCGCCCAACACCTAATGAAAACATGCCCAGTGGAATTTTGTACATTTCCCTGTAAAACTCCCTTGTACACATAGTGTTACGCCTCTGTACATAGCACCTGGCACGCCTAAGTGCTTTGCCTATCCTAGGTGCTCTGTAAGGAGGAAGGTGCGCCTCGTACAACATGAACGAGGCGTTGATATTCCGAAGTGATAGGATCCGAGGCGTTCACATCTACCGAGGCGTCTTTGCTGAGGCAGAAGAGGAGAAACACCCCTCCACCACCAGTTTCACGAACGAATCTTTTGGCCATATTTGTGCCCGTAACTTTAGGAAATATGGATGTGACATTTCTGTCATATATCAATTCCTAGTCAGAAGAAGTGACTGATCGATGTCTACGAGCAGACGCCTTGCACCGTCGGATGAGTCCACGTGTCTTGCATCCAACGACACCTTTTTCCTATAAATAACCCAAGGACTTGGCTAAGAAGAAGGAAAGTGTCATTCCACCACAAAGTATATACATTTTCTCCTCCCCCAAGTTTGCGTATTCTGGCAAAAATCGTCACCACCGTCGGCTAACTTGATTTTCAGAGTGTATATGGCCGCCGCCACCGCCGCTGGGAACAGCCATATACGCCCGACCGTTTGTTGTTGCATACAAGAAGGAACATCTGGAGTGGCTCTCGATTGGCCACGTGGAAGGACCAATCTACGGGGTCAACCCATAGCATTGTTCTACTATAGATTTTATAAAAGCCTTTCATATACTACTGTAGATAGAACCAACTATTACAACTTTTACCCTAGAAAGAAAATACNTGGGGCAACCAGCCGTGAAAGCACTCGATCCAGGATTGTAATGTTGATTAGCCGCAACTTGAAGATGGTCAGGAGGTTTGAACCTTGGAGTTGGAGTCCATTCTTTGTTGAATGGAGTCATCCGAGGACTTTCCATGGCAGAACCGAGCTTTGAGTAAGTAGAATCTCTCTGCAGCAATAGGAGTCGAGAGTTCCGATTAGTTTACATACAGATATGTACAACAAATTAAGCCTCGTTCTCAATATAAAAACGCAATGCAAGAAAGTAAATGTAATTTACTCCGTCCTCAGATCTTCCGGGAGTGTTGAGAGCTTGCTGGTTAAATCTCTGAACATTGTAGAGCTCCATTATTCTATCATAATTTTCACCCCACCATCTCTGAGCTTGCCATTTATTGAACATCTCCCGGCTTCACATTGACATTAGCATGATATTGAATCAAAATCAATATGGATCCCAATAGAAATTATCAATGCATATAGAATAATCAGATACTGATATGATGATTAGAACACGTCAAGGATGATATGTTTTCCATACTTACCTAAAGCGTATCCGTTTAAGGTCGTTCCCGCCACACGGGAGAGAGACAAAGGTAATTTGAACACCAGGCTCCACCTGTGCCATCCACTCTTTTGGTTCATCTTCATCTTGTACAAGCAATAAACCAGACTGGGCTGAAACAGATTCCAGTCGACCAGGTCTCGAGTCTGGTCGAGCAGCATGATGTCCAGTGCTCGTAAAGTCCCAAGCTGGAGTAGAAGTTGAACTTCCTGGCTGCACAAGAGGGTATGGAACACCCTCTGAAATAGTATCGAATTCGGGATATGGTCTACGTCCTTTCTTGTAACTGCCATCTCCAGTCCCAGGCTTGCATTGTAAAGCTCCTGAAACCTTCAATGCCATATCCTTGATCTGCCTCACAATGGGAAGACAATGAAAACATGCAACTATCATTTAAAGCTGCGAAATTATACGTAAATGTATGAGCATGTTTTATATGAAGAAGACGAATAGACCATAAAATGAACAAAAATTTTAACCTTTTTTTCTTAATACCATCAAATACTGTAACATCTAACCTAGCAAACAAGTCATATATGCATAACAACGAAGAAGATCAATCATGTAGTTCCTAAGAGAATACACACAAGTATGTCGATAAGGATTAGGACTATAGATTCCCTTTTCTACTTATAGGGATTTGTCTCGTTGAGATAAAAAATGTCTATACTAGTAACGGTCCTTGCTAACTTCCATAGTTCAATGAATTGTTAAATTAATTTCGGAAGTGGAAAATTTATGCATTATATCCAACTTATTTTATTAATACCGTTGGATAAAAATGCTTAAACTTTTTAATATGACCATCGTATATATTTTAAATATCATTTTCAATACGTTCCGCCACATGATTCGTGAAGCGGGATTATTTTTTTCCATCAAAACCTAAGGGTACGTACAATTAATTAAATGTGTGATCATGAGACTAGACGTGCATGCTCTGGTACCATGTTGAACAAATCGATCTAAAAGACAAATGTATATATTTAGTTATTAGCTTCAACCAATGTATTGGGACCAAGATTTGGACACATGATCCAAGATGTCGCATGACTATGTCTTCCCCACAGTTTTAAGTCCTTGTCTTTGCTAACAGTGCCCCAACTTAGAAGTTCCATTGGTTTTGCAGCCATACCATCTTTACATGTGGTCCTCTCCTCCCCATGAGGCCATGAGCAAAAATTTCATATTTAGGTCCCAAACAATCCTTTAGGGTGTGTTTGGTTGGTTTGGTAAGAAAGAGGATCGAAAGAAAATGACATTTCCATTGTTTTGTAAGAAAGAGAGGTACAGAATGATTGAAGAATATTTTTCATTGCTTATTTACCGAGAACGGAATGTACTTCGTCATAAATGACACATACGAATACAAGTTTCTCTGCATAAAATTTGCGAGAAATGAAATATCTATTATTCCGTAGATGGAACTCGATACAATTACTTGTTTCTATATGGGAAATAAACAAAAACAAGGATAATTTATTTGTTGATATGGGGGAAAGTAGGAGGGAATGTGCTTTTCCATCCCAAAACAAAGGAGAAATTCAAGTTCCTTCTGCCATATAAAAAGACCATTTTACCCATTTTAAATGCCAATCCAAACAAAAGCCTAATACAAAAACCACCTAGTCCAGCCAAACAGTAAAAATAAGAATAACATTTTCATGGGGTCCACAAAAGAAATTAAAAAATTGGACCCCACCATTGGACGTGGGAAAAGCTACTGAATAGGATAGATGCTTTAGTCTTCACCAAGAAGAAAAAAGAAACTGGCAGAGAAAGAAAAGAAGCAAAGCAGAAATCCTATACCATGCTATGCATATATAGATACAGCTGTACGTACGTATAGGTTTTTCAGGGGGTAGGGTACGTAGGGTACGTGTTAGAACCTGTGTAGTCAGGCTTTTGACGGCGGGAGTCCCACGCGAGCCTTCATCTTCACCCTCTTCAATTCTTTGCTTTGAGCACGTAATACATGTCAACATCGTTATCACCTTCTTCTTCTTCTTCTTCTACTGCTGCTGCTTCTTTCTATTCTTATCTTCTTCTCTGTACCTGAAGGAAACAAATAATTATTATTATCAAGATTCTGTAAAAATTTAAACTCAGCAATCAACTCGTATGCATTCCTATTCATTTTTTCGTCATAAGCTTAACACCAAACTTTTCTGAATACGTCAAAAGCTTAAATTGTTAGAAAACGAGACGTATTCATGATTACTTGAATTTTGCAAACTGGGATAAGAATGAGAAACACGGTAGCTGTAGAAATGAATTGAATGCAGAGAGTGTCGAGTTTTGAAAGCAGTTTATGAATGCAAATTCAGACAAAAGAATGAAAGAGAAAGTCCGTACTGTCTGTGTTCGTAAATCGTAACAACTTCTGATGATAGTGACTTACCTAAAATTCCTCTCGATACCTTCTTCAACTCATTTCTCTTTATTTATTTCTTCACAACCTTAGCATCAAAAACTGAAGAACTTTATGCATAATCAATGAGTACAGGGGGGGGAAAAAGTGATTACACACACGTGGTGATAGAGATTTTAAGCGAATATGAGTGATTTTACCGGAAATTCAAACCCCTTCAAGAATTACTCCAAACCCTTTTTGAGAAGTTCTGCAAAGGCCACTGATTTCTGGGATTGACTCATTTCTCTTTATTTATTTCTTCACAACCTTAGCATCAAAAACTGAAGAACTTTATGCATAATCAATGAGTACCGGGGGGAAAAAAGTGATTACACACACGTGGTGATAGAGATTTTAAGCGAATATGAGTAATTTTACCGGAAATTCAAACCCCTTCAAGAATTACTCCAAACCCTTTTTGAGAAGTTCTGCAAAGGCCACTGATTTCTGGGATTTCTTCAAATTCTTTGAATCTTCAAGAAATGTATAAATGATCAGAAAACAGCCCAGAAATGATCAACGAGAATCTCTATAAGCAGTGAAAATCAATGACTTCGGTGTAGCTGGAATGCCAGAAGTGAAATTTTTGTGGAAAAAATATTATATGTTGGCAAGGCTCCGGCGACGATCTGGTTTTTCTTTTTCCGTTACGGAGGAGATTCAAAATGGAAATTTTCGAAATGTCAGCTGCGGGCTTCGCGTTATGATTTATAAAGAAAGGCTATGTCCACGGCGTGGGGCTGGGTGTGGTGTCGTGGGGTGAATACATTGTAAATATATGGAAAAGGGAAAATTGCAGCCACTGTATCCAATATTTTACTTTTATGCAGACTTGATCCAAATCTTTACTTGATAGCATCCACGAAATCTAACATTTCAAAAACTCTCACCTAGAGTCCAAATTGACATAAACAATTAGTTTCAATGTTAGTTGACTAATAATCAAAGATCTGACCAATTGTTGACTAATTTTTAAAGGCAAATAGATAACTTTACATTTTTCATATAAAAAAACTAAAATAAAAGAATTAAAAAAAATCCAGTCATCTTTTCCACTCACCCCCGTACCCCACCCCCACCAAAACCAAAAGACCACCAACACTTCCAGTCACTATTCGTCTTCTAAGATGTTCCATCCGATCGACACTCTAGCAAAACTTTCGATCACCAAAACCACACACTGTAAACTCGCATGTGGTTTAATCATCTTCAATCAAAATTCCTAACCCACAATATAAATCTCACTTTCAATTTGTACGAGTAAATGAATTGAGCAGAGAAGTAACACTAGGCATTGGTATTCACACTTGAACAGATTGCACACATAGTCGCACAAGTAAATGAATTGGGCATTTGCACACAATTGAACGGAGCTCTTTACGGGGCTTTTCTCCGAGCTTTTATCAATGGGTTCTTGGAAAGAGGAAAATTAGCGGTAGAAGGCAGTGGAAGTGATCGGAGGTTTTAAGGAGACGGATGAGGGAGTGGATGGAGTGTCTGAGAAGATTAATAGTGTTTTGGTGACTGGAGATTTGGGTGGAACGTGTGAGATCATTTGATTTTTAAAGAGGAAAAATGGCCCCATTTGGATTTTCAAGAGGTTCATGAACAAAAAAGCTAAGAAAAATAAGTTGCAAAACTTGAAATCAGCTTTTCGGCCATTCTATTTTTTCAGTAGATACTCAATTGGTGTCCGGTGATATTCCAATGAAGCTTCCGACGAGGATGAGGTTGTCAGCGAGATTCTGATTTTTTATTTTATTAGCAATTATTGAACTGGTTTTTGGTTTGGGTGGGGTCGGGGTAAGTTCGAGAAGATGATTTTTTTTTTTTTTGATTTAATTCTTTTAATTTAATTTTTTAATACAAAAACGTAAATTTTTTGGATTTAATTCTTTTATTTTAATTTTTTAATACAAAAAAGTAAAGTTACCCAGCTGCCCTTTAAAAATTAGTCAACAATTAGTTAAATCTTTGATTATTGGTCAACTAACAACCAAACTAACAGTTTTTGTCAATTTGATCTTTGGGTGCGAGTTTTTGAAAGGTTAGGTACCATAAGTGCTACAAAGTAAAGGTCGATCAAATCTGCATAAAACTGATAGGTTTGGTACCGTAACTACAATTTTCTCTTTGGAAAATTAGGACAAGAGACACGAAAAAAGAACAACTTGCTGATTATGCTATGGTATTTATAGAGACGTATAACGCCGTCAAATTTGTCGTCATTATCTAATGGAAAATATACAATAGTACATTGCATTATCGAAAGTCATTGGAAGAGTTGTACAGTATGCTACAGAAGTTGTTCCGAAAGCTTCATTAGTTGTACATTATGCCTATAAAATTTTGAGGTTTAATAACATGAATGGTTACTGAACTTTGTCATACGTTACTACTTAAGAATTGAATTTAAAAATGTATCTCAATAGTCATTGAATTTCGTTAGATGTTAGTACTTCACTATTGAACTCAAAAATGTATCTCAATAATCATTAAATTATTTACCATGTCATCAATCCATTACTTAAGTCGACGTCGTTTGTTGAACTTTACGAATTTTTCTATTTGAGTGATGGATGAATAACACGGTGCATAGTTCATTGATCATTGTGATAGATATTTGAGTTTAGTTATGAAATAGTAGCACTTAGCAAAGTTCGATGACTATTGAGATACATTTTTAAGTTCAATTATTAAATAGTAACATATAACAAAGTTCAGTAACCATTCATGTAATTAACCCAAAAACTTGGTCTTGAATTAGAGAACACGAGGGACCCATCCTTCCAGATGTTGGAATTCGTATGGTAACAAGATGCATGGTATAATGTTATTGGATGGGATATGAGGGTGGTTCCAAAAGAACCATGAACAATCAAATCATGCTTTTTTAGAGAGATCATGGCCTTATTCGATCTACATTCTTTTTAAAAAATAAATTTTTAAATAGTGATTTGAAATTATTTAAATTACATATTTTTTAATAAAATAATATTAAACGTAAATCTATTATCTAACCTATCTTTTAAAAACATATTTTCCATCAATACACTATTCAAAAATGAATTCTTATGAAAAATAATGTGACTCCTTAATAATATTATCCTCAAACTTTTATGGGCGTAGATGGTCACAAGATATCTCTACATCTTCGACAACTGACAATCATTGTCACATATGTATACTTACGTGTGTATACTTTATCTAGATACATATATACAAATGTTGCAAAAATGACAAAATTCATTAGAGATTCAAAATAATAAAATACTAAAAAAAATTATTGTTAGGCACTCTAACCTTTCAATTAGTATGATTTAAGTCTTCAAATTTTAAAAGTAACTTTCTAGGTCTTCACGTGACAGAAACAGTCGCTTGCGACATCTCGTAATGTAAAGTTAGACAGCAAAATCGTTAGACCACTTTCCATCAAGCTTTAAATAACGTGAAAGTCACGTACAATTTTATTTAATTACAATTATTATTTAATGCCATATACATGTCACATAGGGTGGTCTTTTAATACTAATAATGTTATATATCATTATTTTTTGCTAGAAATCTGATTTTTGACGAAATGTTCGAATAAAAAGTGGATAAATGAAAGGGAAAAAATGAAAAATGGAGTGGTTAAAATTCCTTGGGTATATTACAAGAATTGTCCAATCAAATATGAATTTGTTTGACCGTTGACCTCACTATTAGGTATAGTGAATCGAAGCGCACACAAAATCCTAATTGGAATTTAGCAAAGATCTTTCAATCTGTCTAAAGTAAGATTCTCATTCTATCCCTAGTTTCTAACATCTGATTTTGTCTCATCTGATATTTATACGTGCACACCAAAGGTTTTAACTGAGTACCGGCCGTGACCGTTCACTGCTTACAAGTTCTTGGGCAGAGATCCTCCAATTTTCGCCCTCAGGTGTTACCTGCACTTGTCGGTTGTCAGCACTGCCTCCCATTGCTATTTTGCTGCTTTGTCAATTGCTTCCGGGGCATGCCATATGTGTGAAAAATTGGATATTTGGTTCCTAATATATGGTCATAGTTGCAAGTTAGTCCTTAACATTCTATGAAATTACACAATCGATCTTTATGGACATAACTATATCATTCAAAAAATCGTTAAGTTGTCATGTAATCCTTAACAAAAAATGTATCTACATCTCACATATCCAAATCGAAAAGCAAAATTTCTTAAAGATTTGCAGTGTCCATATACCGATTTAACTGAGATTGAAATAGCTTCAACTTTTAAGAATTGATTGGGTAACTATGGTAGATGTTGGAGATTAATTTGCTCATTTTAAAGATATCGAACTCACTACAAAGAAGATGTTCGAGTTCGGTATATCAACAAATAAACATATGACGTGTCTCTTTTTACTTGCTAGTCGACTCAAATATAGTAGCATTACTTTGCAGTTATAGAAAGAGGAATTATGATCGATTATCTTTTTAACGATTGGTATGGGCTGTCTCCAGCTTTATTCCTTTGGAGGCTAACTACTCTTTAAGCAAAGAAAAATGCTTGGAATAATGAGACAACTACACAAAATCCCCATAATCGTGTAACTAAATTTTCTCTGTATTTCTCTCTTGAAGGGTTTTTGACACGTGGCAACCCTTAAGAGCATCTGCTTTTTCTTAACATTGTCTTAACCAAGAAAAGCATATGTCGTCAGATAAATACAAAAAGAAATTGCATTGTTGATTCTCAATCTATTGCATTAACAGCAAGTTAGTTCATTTACGACGAAAATCGTCTCACGTCTTTCGTGAAAACATGTACTACTTCAATTTGCAAAGCGCCGAAATCTAGCTTTAAAGTTTGAACGATGCAATAAATTTGAACAATCGTAATCATTGGTGGCTGATTGTGTCACTATAATAACAATTCGACAACAAACATTTTTTTTTCTTTTAAAAAGGATTAAGACTAACTTATTATTTGCTCAATAGGTGGGATGGAAATTCAAATGAATGTGAAGAAGAAGAACTTTTGTAATGGTGATATGCTTTTCTTTCTTGATCTGTTGTGTGTGCAGCAGATTTGATAAGCGGGCGTGGCCAATAATGTCAAGATGCAGCAAATTAATGTTGTATTATAGTACTAGGGCAAGAACAAATGCATGGGACCATGATGCTGTCTTGACTAGAGGGAAACACTTTAATTCAAAGTAGATGGGTTAATAATTGTTTTTTTTTTTTTTAATCAAGAA